TACCATACGTTCCTGGAATTTTTTAATTAGCGATTAATGTATACCATTCAATCTTTTCAATCAAACAGACCTGTTTTTGCATTGATCACATGTTTTTTGAAAACTGACACACTATGCACTGTTAGGGAAAAACGAACTGAAAATAACTCAAAACATATCGTTTATTTTTCACATCAACATCAGCAATAAGCAAAACCTGCTCGCAGTTATCTAGACCATCAACCACAACCACTAATCGTGTCTGACTTTTCGTGAAAATGTCCAACGAGCGAACCATATCAGCCAAGAGGTCCACCTGCAAAAGCTTCATGATTTGCTTGTCAGAAAAGACTCACGGAAAGCAAACAAAAGAAAATTCAACTAAATAAACAATATTCGCAGCAAGCGAATTGGATTCAGTCTTTCTAAGTTCAAGGCGAGTAGCTCAGGAACGTCGGAAGGACCAAGCCAATGAAACAGATGTGACATATGCACGTTACGTGAAGGACTTCTGTTTCCAGCAAGGAGCAGTAAGAGTGAGAGAAAATAACAGAGCACGGAAGAACGTACTGTTTTTGAACATATAGTTTTTGAATATTACGCGGAAGTTAACTTACTGTCCGCAAAGCGCTTTAACCTTTTGCACAGATAAGCAGCCCTGCATATTAGGATTTTTTGAACAGATCTATTACTGCCTGAGGAAAAGTCATCGCAGTGGGCAAAACGAAAAGATGTACAGGAAGCCACTAGAAAAAGGCCACAAAAAACCTATGTCTCGGCAAGTAATTCATACAGGCTGTCGGATGGGGAGTAGTCTGATCCAACCCCACATTCCTTAATTGACAGCATAATGTACAATAAATAAAGACATAAATTGATAGCGGCATAATGTCGGTGCCTTTATTTATTGTACATTATGCTATCAATTAACGAGTGACCCACAAAAATTTTTTCTAGTTACTTCTAGGTTTGTAGGGACACTGGGACTGCAGAGGTCGGAAAAGAAAGAGCAATGGAGAGAACAGTCGTTCGTCTAGAACATATGTGGGCAACTGACGGCTCGCGGGCTGGATCCGGGCACGACGGGTTTTAATTCGACCTGCGGAGGGAATCAGAATGTGGTGTCTAACCAGACGAACGGGGAGTTTGTACTCCACCATGCGCCTGCACTCTCATGAAAATGAATAAAATTAAAATACCCACGAAGCCAACAGACGACAATCTGGAAAATATTTTGAGATTCTATCTCACTGATATGAATTCAGATTTTAGCAATTTTGTGTTTAAAGTTCAAGCCCAGAGCTTACATTAAACTGCTGCTGTTGATTTTTTTACTGAATGAACAACCTGATAAACCATTATCTGTTTTTATGCATTTTTCCATCTTATGCAAATGAAAAAACGCATAATACCGAAACCTCGTGTGTTCAGAAATGATGAGTGAAATTTGTCACCCACTTCCAACTCAGCAATGAGGAGGGTCACGATGCAACATTATCGTCTCAGCCGACGCCTGTTTCCTTCCCATGCAAGGAAAGACAAAACACAAGCACATGAGTTGCACGTGTTAAACTGGAAAATAACAACCATTTTTGCTATTAACGATCTGACCACGTCATGTTTAGCACGAAAACGCATGATAGCGCGGACAAGACTGGTGTGCTGCCACTTGGGTTTTATTAAAAGACCGCTCGTGAGCTTAAGTAAACATGTAAGTCTGGCCCGCATTTCGTGAAGGGCTGCCCATGCCTGATCTGGAACGTCCACAAGGGTCCTAGTGCAAATGCGTCCTAGAATTTGGAGATGCACACCTACTGGATTAATTAGATGTTCGATCTGCTCATCAACATTGGAAGTTTCTTGCAATTAGGGTATTGAAAGATTACCGTGCAAACGAAACTAGTTTGTTTGAGTCGCATATGTGAAAAGATCAGCTTTGAAAGACTACTGATTCCCAATAAGTGCCAGACCATTTCGATAAGTGGTTGTGTTAGCAACGAGTCAGTTATGAACCTATTACTAAACGGACCGGAAATATTGGTTTTCCTTGTTCTTCTGATGTTTAGTACACCCAGAAAATAATACCCAAGCTTTCCTCGCACTTTTGCATCATTATGCGTTTTTGCTGTGCAGCGTTATAGCGCTGCTACAGCCAGCAAAAATGAAAAATTTCACCACCCCTAGCTACTCGAGTAAACCAACCTCGTGTTGCAGTTTTTGCATGAAGCCTTCGAAACGCAAGGTGCTAATTTTTTGAGCGGCAGCATTGATGCGTCTTTTTGGCATATTAACGAATCCATATACACACACCGTATGAGCTGGATATGCAAGAAGTGCCGCAGTAACAATAAAAAATGACACAGAACAATACAGATAGCTGAAATTTTCTCCACAACTGATAATCAACCTAAGGAACCAAAACATGTGTGCAAAAACACTTGATGACAGCTAAAAGGAGTCTTGGAAAAGATAAGTTTTCAATAAAAATTGAGCGAAATGTGCAAAAGCATGAACATAAACAATCTTTCCTAATTCGTAAAAGTTGATGAAGTCAGTTGATTTTTATATATATATTTTTTAAAATGAAATGTGAACCTTGAATCTAAGTTCATTCCAGTATAAAGCCATAAACCCAGAAAAGATAAGCTTGAGATGAGTGAGAATGAGAACAACGCAAACAGCGCGGTCACCGGAATACCACAAACCCGGCGCATTCGTGGTTTGCTTCCATGTGCTACAATAAACTGCACATTGATGAAAGTTTTATATTTTACATTCATTAGACATCTAAATCACAATTGTACAAGCACATACAGCAAATACACTCGCTGCATCAGCAACTTTCAGCAGCATCCGTAAATCACCAGTGGGTGTACGTGAAACATGAATCAGCTACAGCGCATATTATTCGGGCGAGACCGATTAGTGTTATTTACATGCTCACAGTTTTCGCAACTCATGCTATCCAACTGCTTACTAAAAGATTCTGCGGCCTCTGAATTTCCTGGTAACTGATGCCTCACTAACTAATTTTCTTCTGATGTGAACCGGGAATTCCTGGTGTGAGCCGTTAACAATAAAAACGGCTCATGTGCGCTCTTTTATCAGACTGACAATCGATCAGCTACAGTACATTTCAACAGCTTCGAGACATATTGACGTCCACAGCTCCAATCCTTACACAGCTTTCACTGTCACAGAATTCAGTTTCCTCCAAAAATATGCAAAGAGCAGGCAATATGCTTCATTGTATTAATGATACTGTCAACCGTCAGAATTTTGGTAAAACATTTGCTGACACCTACGCGTAACACCCTTCAATTTGACACTGTATGCTCGGCGCACTCTTCATGCTTTTTTAAAGTGAGCATTTTCAGCTAAGCCTGCTAACGCCATCTTGATGTTTGTGAAAGAACAATGAATTAGTTATCTTCTATCTGAAAAGCAATTCAGCAATCCCAACAGCGATGCAGATCTCCCTACCCATCAAAGCACAATTCCATCTGAATTAATTTGTTGTGTTGGCAAATGCCCCTGATCTAACAAGTTTATAAGGTGGACAAATTAGTGCCCAGAGAAGCTGCGTTACAGAAGTGCTAAAAGTTGTGCATATTTTTGATGCTAGGAATCGTGAAAAAATCAAAATGAGAAAACGTACCGAATGAGACCCTCAATGCGCAAAAAAATCGAACTGGAAGAGAACCAAAATGATTTTCGGCCGCTTCAAACAGTGTAACTACAATTTTTGCAAGTGCCTGCTCACCACCAATCGACGATAAACGATGGTAATCTGCGAACAGAAAACTGAAAAACCCAATCAACAGCGCAAAATACAGCAAAATACTGCTAGCACATCAAGCGAAATCAACCCGGTGGTGCTGTGGCACGTTCAATAAAACTGCGCATGTATTCATACCATTCTTAACTCACAAAAACTATTAATTTGCTCAAAAAGCAAAACGTTGCGGAACAGAATTCCTCGCTGATTAAGCTATCCAGAAAACTAGATGAGTAAAAGTAGAGCCTACATCTTGCAGCGAAATAAAGACAAGCACAAAAGAACCGTCGGAAAATTTAAGATTTCAATAAAGACTTAACTCTATGTAACCTTTCAACAAGGACACAAGGAACATACCTTACGGGACAAGACGAGATATCTTTATCGTGCACTGATGCGGCATGCTGCAGTGTGATACTCAATAGTAGACGTGCACGTGCCAAGCCCTTAGCAATACTTCGAGCAGCGACCGTGCAACTATCCCACGATTTCACCTCGCTTCCATAATATATCAGCCCTGAACAAATGCTAACTTGAAAATCAATTTTAAACCAAACGCTATCTTCCAAAAAAGTCAAGAAGCGCAGACACTCAGTTTCCTATGTCAGCTACTAATGCTTTTCGCAATAGCTACGAACAGCAAAACTCTGTTACCATTTCCTAAGCATTCCTAAATAATTGGCCAACGCCCGGGCTGCCCGTGCGAAGATGCGTTTTTTGCATAGCTCCCGCAGATTTTTGTCGCTAATGACACTGATTTTTCTGGCAGATGCTTCTAGTTAAAAGAATTTCAGACTGACCGCCAGGACTGTCACGAAACATCCCTTCAAAATCCCAGTCTTCACTTTCCCGAGCTAGCAACTTACCCGGAAGAAACTTTCAAGAGCCCGTACGTAGGCACCACGCTTATCCGCGAGCAGGGTTTGAACTCGTTAATACCTACTTGGGCAGGAAACATTGCCCTAAGATTTCAGCGTTCCAGTTTCTCAGATCCCCGAGTTATGAACTTACCCGAAAAAACTTTGGCGGGCCCGTACGCGGATACCACGCTTACCCGGGGGATGGGTTTGAGTGTATTAACACCTAGTTGGACAGAGGAAATCATCCTAAGATTTCAGCGTTCTAGCTTCTCAGACCTCCGAGTTATGAATTTAACAGAAAAAAATCTTAGCGGGGCCCGTGCGCGAGTGCCATGCGGGTTTTGGCGCCATTTTGGGGATTGGGGCCGGCACGGGTATGTAGATTAAGTTCCCGAAATTTCAGCCCCGCAGCTTTTATAGGTCCTGAGATGAAAGTGCGTGACAGACTAAGTTCTCGAAATTTCAGCCCCGCAGCTTTTATAGGTCCTGAGATGAAAGTGCGTGACAGACGCATACACGGACACACAGACAACCCCTCGCCAATACGCTTTTTTGCATTGCATAGCTGCAAAAAAACGCATAAAAACAATAAATTGCAGCGCACACTAGAATAGCTGGTGCGACCGCGTGTTTTGTGCAATTCCGCCTACTGAAGAAAAATTGCCGTTAATGATTTTCACTGCTTTGCACTTTGATCTGTGCAAAAATAGTTAAAATGTTGAAAAATTGTTAAAAATTTCATGCGTCGGCACGTGAAAACGGAATTTGAAACCTCGAATGGTGAATATTCGTCCAAAATTTCAACCTCCTAATTTTCTGGCTTTCGAACGGCCTTCGAGACAAAACTTTCACGTGGTCGTACGTGAGATCTCAGCACACTTAGGAAACTGAGTTTAAGTTTGTGAAGCCCCTGCTTAGGCAGGAAACATTCGCCTGAAATTTCCAGCCTCCAAACTCTTCTGGCCCTGAGATAATGATTTTTCTCGTCGAAAATTCCACGGACTGCACGTAGTACTCAGGAGTGCATGTAGGCCGAATCCAAATTTGCGGAGGTTGTACGCTGATAGGGGCATCCGCCATAAAATTTCAGATTCCAAATTTCGTGGTTCCCGAAGTAAAAATTTTCCTCGCCGAAACTTTCACGGGGCCGTAAGTGAAAGCTAGGCCCGCGGGAAGGCCAAATTTAGACTTGCGCTACTGTATGTGGGTAAGGCACACTACCGCCAAATTGCAGCTTCTTTTTATGGTTCCCGAGATAATAATTTTTCCGCCAAAATTCTCATGAAGCCATAGGTGATACCCGAGAGTGCGGGAACGCTGAATCTAAATCTGCAAGGTCGTACGTGGGTAGAGGGTCATTACCTTAAAATCTCAGCTTCCTAGATTCCGTGGCCCCCCAGAGATAATAAGCCCCTCCCCCCCCCCGCCAAAACTTTTACGGGGCCGTACGTGTTATCGCTGGACAGGGAACAGATGACTTTAAAGTTTCTGGGTTGTACGCAGGCAGGAGACATGCCCACAAAATTTCAGCCTTCTAGCCCCAGTGGTTCCCGTAAGAATAATTTTGCCTATCAAAACTTTTACGGTGCAGTACGTGTTATCTCCGCAGGCAAGGGAAGGCTTAATTTTAAATTTGCAAGGTCACACATAGGCGGGAAATATACGTCTAAATTTTCAGCTTCCTAGCTTTGATGGTCCTGAGTTAAAAATTGTGGACAAGTTGCTGCGGACACAAACACATACATACACAGACAACTCCATGACAATATTCGTTTTGTGCAGCTGTTGCACAACACAAAACACATAAAAAAGGGGACAGCTGCTGAATGTCTGACGTGCGCAATTACACCGAAAACTACTGATTCGCCCAGAAGAAAGGGGAGAAGGATGACTATAGGGAGCTTGCTTCATTTGCCGTGAAAATACTATTTCGATAAAACTGAAAAAAGCTTGAAAAATTGTTCAAAAAACCGCGTAATTGCAATTACAAAAAACTCCGAGAACAAACCATAAGAGAACACGAGCAGAACGAAGAGGAAGAATCCAACAGCGCTCACAGATATAATGTAATAGTAATTCTGGAATGCAGAAATAGCAGTAACAAAAAAGAATGTAAGAAAAGCGACAAAGATGCCGATGGAAAGGACAAGCGACCAGGACCATGAAAGCTGTACACCATCAAGCCAACTTCTTGAAAAGCTGTGCATTGATTCCTTCATTTTTTTAAGTAAATCCGATTTGCCGGAGCCCCATTTCGCATATAAACCTGAAAATATTCTACCATCCTTTAAATGCCAGTTCAAAAGCAACACTATTCGCGTTTCACAGTCCACGATATCACTGACAAGCAGCCAAAGTGACAGTTCGTGTGCTCACCGTTGCTGTCCTGCTGGCACAGAGCATACTTATTTGCGAGTTGATAGTTGACAGTATACTTATTTGCGAGTTAATATTCACCAATGTCAACCTGATGTAACATCTTGTCATTTCTTATTAGTGTCATTATTTCCAGTATGGCATCGCAAGGAGAACCGCCGTCCAAGCGAAGCAAGGCAGACAACTACGTACTCCACGATAAAGACATCTTTTCTTACCTCCTTTCTTTTCCTTGCATGTTTTTTATCTTGCTTCTTTTCCCGTCCAAGTTATTTTCATTATCACATGGTGGAAAGAGAACTGTACTGATGATTCCCAGACCTAACCGCATCTCCTGCTGTCTCTGTTTACAGCTTAGGGATGAAACATAGGCATGCTTCCTTTTACGTACATCTCTGTGCATGACTTTTCCACATGACATAGGGTTTTCGTACATATGCAACATTACAATCTTCTTTACCTTATTTTAATTTTCTTATCCTTTTTTGTAAATCTATTTGCTGACTTTTTCTGGACGGTTTTTATGCGTTTTTTGCAGCAATGCAATGCGAAAAACGCATATTGACGAGAGGTTGTCTGAGTGTGTGTCTGTGTGTGTTTGTGTGTGTGTCTCTGTGTGCGCTGCGCGTCTGTACCGATTTTTATGCGTTTTTGCCGTGCAGCGCTAGAGCGCTGCAAC